ATTGCGTCAAATATTTGAATCTAATTATATTGATGTGAATTTAGTGCAAAAAGTATTGCTCTCTTATGAGAGTAATGCAAAGGATTGGTTAAAATACGCTCATTTCGATGAATGCAGGTTTGTTTGCAATTTATACAATCAATTAAAAACAAATGTTTGGTTGTTTTTCAATTCAAATATTTTAATACTTAAATTTAATTGAAAAAGATATACAAGAAATCTTGTGGACACCGGGAATGATAAATACAATTTAATGCTTCTGTGTTGGTCTGAAGGACAGGGATCTGTTATACACGACCACTCAGACGCTCATTGTTTTATGAAAGTATGTCATTATTTAACATTAATTTACAAATTACTGTATAAATAGAATTAAGAATTTGATTGTTGTTTAAATTAATAGATACTTTCGGGTCATCTTCATGAAACTCGGTTTGAATGGCCCGACAATACCAGTGACATAAATGATATGAAAGCGATTGATGAGAATGAACTCAAAACTAATGATGTCGCCTATATTAATGGTAAAACAGATTATGTCGAAATAAATTATAATACAACTAATACTTAGAAATTAATTTATTGTCACAATATGTATAGATTCAATTGGTTTACATCGAGTGGAAAACCGGAGTCATAGCTGGAAATCTGTGTCATTACATCTCTATTCTCCTCCATATTCTAAATGCCAGGTCTTTGACGAGAGAACTGGACTTAAAAATGAAGCAAAAGTGACTTTTTATAGTAAATATGGAAATAGAAAAACTTATTTATATAAACAATTCAAACAAATGCACGAATTTGGTATCGATTGGCAGTCTTTTTGATTAAAAGTATTTATTGAAAGAAATATTTAACTACAAATCAAAAACTATTATTTTTGTTTAACTAATGTTTAAAATAATGAATTGCTATATTTTCTTTTTAAAAGTACTAAAAAACCATTTATTAATTGGAAAAAACAAATAACTGTACTTATATTGTGTTTAATGTTAAACATAGTGATAGACATAATATTATCAGCTTTGTGAAATAATTATTTTATTAATTGGTATTTAACACTTTTCAGAATAATTTTATTTTTAGTTTATAAAAAATAATCAGATTATTAAATGTTTATTATTAAAGTAAAGTTTGTGTTTTTATTATATGTGAAAAGTTATAATTAGAAATCAATAACTCAATTAATTATAACTCATAATTTATATCAAAGTAATCAATAGATGGTAAGTTTTATTACTGAATTATATTATGTCAATATTTTTGTATTTATAATACTTTACATAATTTGAAATAAGAAAGTTGGAGTACAGTGTAATGTCCGGAATATATTGATCAAACATAAGTTAGAAATGTTTCTGTGATTTATAAAACAGTAAACATTATATTTTTATTGTAATATCATATAAGAATATTTAAGTATTGATACAATTTGCATAACAATATCCAAATGCTATTTAAGGTACATATTACATAAATACATGTTAACTTTGCATATAAGTTAAATATTAAAATAATTTTATACATAAAGTGTATTAATAATTGTTTTATTAATTTAATTTACATTTATTGTTTTATTATAGATATACTGAATTTTATTTTTATTCTTTTCGGAGGTTTTAGTATTAATTGTTGTTTGAAAAATACAATTATTGAATTAAAAATAGCTAATATAAAAGTTAATCAACTAAATTACAATTATAAATATCTAATTAAACAATTTAATAAATCATATCATCAACATCCAAATTTAAATTAAATGTAAGTAAAAAATAAATACTGTAAATGTGTTATTTTTATTAATAAATGTCTCACTTAAAAATTAAACTGGATTTAACTGTACAATCAATTAAAATGTATTTCTAACTCAATAGAATAGACTCATAATTATTACAATTGAAAAGTACATTGTTAGATTATGTACTTTCTTATGTACTAAATTCAATAATAATATATTGGCACAAAATACTAAATTATCAGTACAACAGTAATTTAACATAAATTACATTTTTCTCTCTTGCGTTAATTACATTTATATTTCTAATTATAACAAACAAAATAAACAAAACACGATTTTATTACTAATAATTTATTAGTAATAAATGAGTTTCACTATGATTAAATCTAAAACTAAAACCATATTTTTATTTCAATTTGTCTGTTCAAGAATACACTTCTTATGAATTCCGTGTATAATAAGGATTGCATTCATTATATTGCAAACCAAAGAATGCAATTCACTGACAATGTGTTAAAGAATCGTACAATTTATGCTTTAAGTGTACGGGAAACGCCTTATTTATCAGGGTATTTTATTAACCATTTAGCACAATTTATACAAATTTATTTTAAAAAAATTTATTTCAATATAGCCACGAGTTTAGCCATAACAATAAACTTTGTGGACCAATGGTTTTGTTGATTATTGAATTAGTAAAGCATTTAAATGCATTGTAAGTAAAAATATATTTAAGTAAAATACATTTAACATAAACGTAATGTAATAATTAATTTTGTTATTTAATTAGCTTGGTGTTTAGAGAGGCACCAAAATCTCAGAATGAATTTATTAAAAAATTAGATGAAAATAAAACGGATATAATATTAATGCCAGCCATAGTAACACACGTTATTATATTCGCTCGTATTTCCAGAATAACGGGAATCCATTACTTGCCCACAGATTTCATTGATTACTTTGAATTGGCGAACATTGCGGCCAAAGTACGGCCCGGAACTCAAATCCTGTTTAGTTATTTCCGATGCTTTCAAATAATGGTTTGGATTTGTATTATAATCGCCACAATTAGCCTATCGTTTATTACGTCAATTTTGGGAAACAATATAAAACAATTTATTGAATACAACTGGAACTTTGCAGTTCTCATAATTTGCAAAACACTTCAACAGTTTGTCCGCAAGTTTAACACAAAACAGAATTACATTTTTGGTATTTGGATATTCTGTTCGCTAATACTGGGCATACAATTCACTAGTTATCTCTTGGATTACATGATTAAAGCCGATCCTATTATCAAAATTGATTCATTACAAGACATGATAAATGCCGATCACATGAAGTTTTATGTCCGCGAAGACAGCACTATATATCGTTTTGCTGACGACAGCGACACAGAATATGGCAACAAATTGTTGGACAAATTTAAACCATTTAGAAAAGATCAATTTCTTGATCCATCATTTTTACGCAATTTATCTCGTGATCTAAAATCTGGTGATTTTGGTTTCGTTGGCAATAAATTATCATTGATTTACCATTTGATAGACCTTTCGGGACACAATAAACTCGATGCAAATTTAATTAATTTGCTCCATATATCGGTAGACGGGGGCGAAAATTTACCATATTTTCTTATTGTCAGCGAGTTTACTGATAGAATCGTTTTACGTGTTTTAAATAAGATGTAAGTTTTTGATTAATTAACAAATTTATTTATAAACTAATAAAATATTTTCGTAGAATTTTTAAGACACGAGAGTCCGGTGTTTACCGCAAATGGATTGACAATACTTTAAGAAAATCAAACAAATTTCATAAAAACATAGAAGACGTTCACTTTAAGGATATATTATATGATTTTTCTGAACTATCTCTGAATGATTTATTTGATTTGTTTTATTTATTGTTAATTGGATTTTGCATCTCTATAATTATATTGATATTAGAAGTATTTAAACCCGAAATCAACCAAATTAATAAACATATCATTAAGGGTATTTTAAAACTAAAAAGATTTTAAGTAATTAAAAATTAATGATTTAAGTTCAATCCTTATTTGTACACTTAATTAAATTAAAATAAATAAATTTATTTATTATATTCAATAAATATAATGATATGGTAATTAATAATACAATATATTGTTTTACATATACTTTCTAAAAATAATAAGATGCATTTAATATGCTTTCACTTTATTTAACTAATTGATTAATTGATATTTAAACAGAATAATTAATTGTAAAACCAAATATTTAAAATTATCAATAAACAAATACTAAATATAAAATTTAAGACTTACAAAATGTAACATAAATATATAGATTATATAAATTATATCAATACAACAATCAGCTTTAAATTAATTGTAATTTATAAGATTATAATATATGTGTAAACATGGTAATTTTTTGGCAAACATTATCATATCTTGGCATTCATCACAGTTTTTGATAACCATTGAGTACTTAATCACTGGAACCGGGAGTTGTAGTGGCAATTCTGACCACATCACAGTATTGTGATACTGTTTAATATAAACAATATAAACTAGTAATAAAACATACAATGCAAATGGTAATTGGGCTTACATTGGTTTGTAGTACATGGTCGCTTACAACAATCATCCACAACACCACGGATTTGTCTCCTAAAATATCGCATATCATTCTTGTTTCTAAGCAAATGGACCAAAGCTAACGAGTATTTCCCACTTTCCATACCATCATCTGATGAATTGTTATCATTCTCTTGGTCTCAAGCATAAGACACAAAAAATAGTCAAAATTTTTATGCAAAATATATGTATCATTAATATATACAGTTAAATTGTAATTAATAATTTGTTGTATACAAGATATTAAAACACAAGTTACCATCATTTCTATCAATGACTCGGGAATAAGAACTTCTCTTATTATAACTCTCGCACAAGAAGTTGAGGGTTCGGGTAATCTCTGAGCCACAGTAACGACGGGTAGCTCTGGTCTCGATTCTGTGCGAGTCGTACGGCGTGTCATATGAAGACAGATAATTGTTTGGATCGCGAAATGCAATGCAAGTGGAGATGAATATAAAAGACAATAAACTCAAATAACTCAACAGCATTGCGGACAGTAATTGTGTGGTCATCTATGGGTTAATCAAAAGTATGGGAAAAATATTTTATAAAAAACAGTTCATGAAAATATGATTGAGAAAAATATTGACTTACTATTGGATTGAATGTGTGTTTATTGAGCGCTAATCAAAGACTGAGTCAATTGGAGTGAAAAACTTTGATTTCAAAGTCATTTTTGAAAATCTTTTAATTTAAACGATTCATAAGAAGCATATTTTTGCAGTTATTTTTGGGCTTAAAAAATAAGTTTGAATTAAATCGCGTGTAAAATATCAGTACATTTGCGCTGAAAACTGTGTGAACTGTATATGACATTGACATGACATATACGTGGGAGAGATCGACCATTTAATACCTTAATTGATCCCAAGAACAACTTGTCTGCAGAGAAATTCTGTGTTGAAATCCATATATCTCTTACAGGTGTTGTTATTGTCAATTGGGATCAACTGTTTTGCCAGCTCTTGCAGTTACCACTGGTATTGAGTATGAGATTAAGTGCGAGTAAACAACTCTATAATCCATAAATTCAGTGCTTTTTAAATCTATTAATTTCTATTAATATTTCTCTTTTGAAATGTTTATAACGAACACTAAAATTAAAGTTTTGTTTTGTTTTTGTGCAAACTTTCCTCAACTGCTATTAATATTAGTTAATTTTATAAATAACAAATTTTATGTCAAATTTTGTATTTTTACACAAAAATGAGATATTTTTATTAATTAAGCAAAACATTTAGTGTGAATTTTAAATATAAATCAATGTTTACATTAGTCTTCGGGCTTTAAAGATAGAAAACTATTGAAATGTCAATAAATATAATTGTTATAACATTTAACGGTCTCGAAGACATTTTTTCAGAATTTATATTTTTTTAAAACGGTTCTAGGGCATTTGGTTAATAATGTACATAGATTTATGTAGATAATGTAGATTAGTTGATAACATAGCAATCTTAATATTAAGTCTATGTGGTGTGTACTGTATTTGGAGTATAGTTGACAGCATAGATAGTTAATAACACACAAGTTTTACTGTAAAACATATTTTAATACACGTTTATTGATTATAAACAATCTCCAAATTGCAATGAATGAATAAGTTATTATAATAGGTTTTAATATAGGTTTAGTTTGTTTTAAGTTTCAGCGCAAGTAATATTAAAGGAGGATGGCGAAGACTCTATGTTAATTTGCCTAAAAAAATAATTTTTATTTAACCCTCCGGAAAAAAGTTACTTTGATGGTATAGTGGGCGATTTTTTGTCCAACGTTAATTTAATGCTATTTTCTTTATGATGCTAAACATATGTTAAATTAAAAATCAAATTATTTAACTTGAGATGAAAATTTGATCTCGAATTCGGCAATAGTGGTCACTATTTTCGGTAAATATAAACATGTTAAAAATTAACATATAATATATGAAATCAATGTAGAATTTAACGTAGAATCGGAATATAGTAATATCACATTAGTGAAATTAAAAGATTTGTTGTAGTTTTTGTAAAACTACTAAAACTTATTAAAATAAGCTATTACACAACACCAACAACACTACCACAACTCCGACTACCCCACACAACTTCTCCACAACCTCGACCACCACTCACAACAACACCAACACAACCCAAATTTTCTGACCAAGTTGTAAAAATCCAATTATATTGCCAGGGTTTCGGTGTCACTCTCGGGCTAGGATCAGGCCCCTCACCAGTAGCATGTTGAGGAACCTTCGGAGCCCTGGTGGCCGACTCCGAATGGGCCAAATCAATTTTTTATACACAATGCTTAATTATTACAAAACCTGCATTTTAACTAAAAAATATTTATTCTTTTTAATATTTATTTTTCTTCTATTTTAGTACTAATTCAAGAATATGATGTGATTTTTCAAAAATAATCAATAAACAACGTCAAAATAATAAAAATTGAAATTATAATTTCTTAATTTCGAGATAATTCAAAAACTATATGTCCCATCTAAATTATAATAATATATTCCGATTCTACGTTTAATTCTACATTGATTTAGTATACCATATGTTAATTTTGAATAAGTTAAAATTTCCCGATAAAAGTGGTCATTACTGCCGATCCCGAGGTCGGTCGGCCATATGGATTATATCATTGGACTCCTTATGCAATGTACTTTCATTTTATATTGTCAAATCTCGGGTGCAAGCTTAGGCAGCTTTCGCCATCCTACTTTCAGTACAAACACACGAGTACTTAAAAGTACTAAACATTTGAGTTTCTGTAATATTTATGTTGAAATAGCATTTTTATATAAATTATTAACAGCTGACAAAAGCCTATTTTATTTACACTAATTTTACATTTATTTTATACTTTAATTCTGCCGACAGAATTCAATTGTAGTTCATTTTATTAAAAAAGTTTTAATATCTGTCAAATTCTGTTATAATTAAATCTTATGTAATGAATTGAATATTACGTGCATGTGTTTTACAGGTCTTGTATAAGAAATAAAATAAAGCAATTCATTAAAATGCAAATAATTTAAGTCAAATGTGTCACTTTATTAACTTATTTATTATTGATTGAATTCATTATTAAGAAACTATTATTATGTTGAATGACTTTCTATATATAAGTTTTTGAAAACTAGTTTGTATTCATGAACACAAACCATAACAAAAAACATAGAATATAACACTAAATAATTTTTATTCTATTCTCATTTAAAATATCTTTCTTTAAAAGTCACTAAAATAATAATGAATTCACAAAATTGTTTGAAGTTTAGTGTAAATGAAACTTTCAAAATATTAGATAACATATTAGACAACAGGACTATTGCAGTCCTTCCCATAAAGAAAGTCCCATTTCTACAAATATATGAGAGGTATGTTTGCAAAGTATTTGAATACATAATATATTAAGATAATATGTTATACAGTATTGTTAAAAAATTATATTTAATTCACAATTTAATAGAAATAACAGTAACCTCTATGAAATATGCGGACCATTGGTCTCCATAATGATTACAGTAGCGAAGCGACTAAAAACAAAGTAAATTAATGCTATCGCAATTTTAATTTTAAAATTTAACGTTTAATAATGTTAAATTTAATTTTTAATTAACATTTAATTATATTATAATTCCTAAAATATTTGTCTCAAGCAGTCTATTGTTTAAAAAGCCTCCAAACTATATGTACGAAATGATTGAAACTCTGGTCGACGATACAGTAGATGTGGTGTTATATCCTTTAATACCTAATCATTTCGCATTAGCCAAACAATTCACCGATGATTACATTGCGAGCAATGCTTTTGGTTACGAAGAATTGGCAAATATAGCGGCAAAACCAATGTTAGGATCGCAGCTATTATTCCCGTATTTCTCGTGTTTCACAAACGAAGTCTGGTTTTTATTTATCACAACTCTTATTGTGTTTTCACTATTTCTTTCGTTATATTCTTGTAATATAATTATGATTTTCAAGTATTTCTGGAATTTTGCGATTTTAATCTTTTCAAAATCTGGACAACAGTTTGTGTTAAAATTTAATTCATTTGAAAACTATTTCCTGTGTTTGTGGCTATTGGCCGCTCTCAACATATCATTGGTTTTCACGGCTTATTTACTCGATTACACCGAAAGAAGTGATCCAATGATTAAAATAGATTCGTTGGAAGATATGGCGAACTCGAAGAATATGATATTTTACACGAGCGAAGACTCCACTCTCTATGAGTTTGCGATGACATCGCAATCAGATTTGGCGAAAGCCATTAAATCTCGTATCAAAAGCTTTCCAATCGACGAATTGAGTAACAAATCATTTTTTGCCAAATTAAAGGCAAATCTGATGTCAGGAACGCATGGATTCACTAGAAATAAATTAACGTTAATTTATTTTATGATTGTTTTGTCTGGAATTCAATCTCATGGCACGGATCAGACAAAACTTCTTGATTTAATTCATATATCAACAAATGGTGGCGAACTTTTACCGCAATCTTTTGGTATTAATAAAAATAGCGATCAATCAATTGAACAAACATTTAATGAAATGTAAATATGCATATTTAACTAATATTTAATTTACAATTGTATCAAACTTTATTTTATGCAATAATTTGCATTATTTGAATAAATAAGTTAATGTACATTTACATTATTCTTGTTTTGTGTATTTATAGCATTTATATAAGCCGTGAATCGGGTTTATATAACTATTGGCTCCACAAAGAGCTCACGTCTTACCCGGGAATGGATAGGAGTGTAGAAGACATGCATTTAAAGGACATTTTATTTAAATTTCGGATTTTAATGCTTTCAGATTTATTTGATTTGTTTTATTTAATTCTCGTTTCATTTTTTATATCAATATTAATTCTCATAATAGAAATTATTTTATTTCTTAAAATGCACTAAAAACAGAGGTCTGCTAGCTTTTAGAATTCACACAAATTTCGTATATATAAACTTATAAATTAATGCTAAAACAAGCTATCTACTGTAGATATCTTGTTTTTAACATTAATTTATAAGTTGATATATACGAAATTTGTGTGAATTCTAAAAGCTAGCAGACCTCTGACTAAAAATATAATTGTATATTATTGTTATTGTTTAATTAAATAATTTTTAATTTACTTAATTGGTTGTAAAATTTAGTTGTGTATATAATTTTCTATGCAGACATACTGTAATACGGACTACCAATA